AAATATTCCAAACTTGCATATGTATTTTAAATACCTCAAACTTTATACTCCCTCCGTTTCTGAAACAAGTTCCACCTTTCCTTTTTGGGCAGATTCAAAATTAAGTTCCACTTTCAAACATTTCCTTATTTGGCAAATTATCTACATCAAAACAGTATCAAACAGTGTCAAACAGTGTTCAAACAGTGCCAAACAATGTTCAAACAGTGCACTTCACAGTAAAGTCAAATTTATTTTCTTAATATGTGTGAAGTCAAATGTGAAACTTGTTTCAGAAACGGAGGGAGTATATAAAATTGTGAATGGACTCCAGCCGGGTGGCCCGACCCGGAACCGGCCCGGGACCGGTACTATTCCGGCCCGGCCCGACCCGATGGCTCGGTCAATACCGGTCCGAGTAGACCCGACCCGTGGGTTTTCCGATCCGGGCTCGAATCACCCAAAACAAGACCCGACCCGGCCAAGCCCAGGCCCGATTCGGTCCAAACTTGATTTTTTTTTTCAATTTTTTTAAAATTTTCAAGTTGGACTGGGTATTTTGGGCCATTTGGGGTGGTTTGGGGGTTGGGGGTGGGATGGGAGTTAATTAGGAAGAGGGGAAAAAATGATAATGGGCCCAGCCTGGACCCGGTGGTTACCCGGGCTGGTCCCGGATCCACCACTTCTGAACCGCCGGCCCACCCAGGCCTAGGCCCGACCCGGACCCTAACCGTTCCCAAGTCTACCCCTATATAAAGTTATTTTGACACCCAAGTCAAGTATTATTTCTTTCAAAAATATAAATTTATAGTGTGAATCGATAATTTAAAATATTTTAAAATTCTTGAAGACACAATTTAGTTATTTACATTAGGGGTGGATTCGGGCCGGGCCTAGGCCCGGTCGGGCCGCCGGTTCTAGAATAGTGGGCCCGGGGCCGGCCCGAGGGTTGGACGGGTCCGGTTCGGGCCGGGCCACCCGCCCGGGTCACGGGTCGGGCCACCCGCCGGGCCGGGTCGGGCCACCCGCCGGGCCGGGTCGGGCCGGGTAATTTTTTTTAAAAATTTATATTTTATACTTTATAGTTTTATACAAGTATTAAAAAACAAACTTCAAGTGCATTTATTTGAAATGAAATAGGAACTACATTTGAAAATTAAATAGGAACTATAATTGTTTTTAATCGGAATCTCCGACATAAGTAGAGCCACCCTCTGTAGATTCATCCATAAAGTGTTGTGATGGAGTGATGTCAATTTCTTGAGCTCTATGTGCTGCTTTCAACCAATCGTGGTAGCATATAAGCATCTCAAGATATTCAGCGCTCAACCTCGTTCTGGTTTGTGTTAGAACATTGCCGGCCGAACTAAATTCTTGTTCCACGGCAACCGTTGAAACCGGCATTGATAGCACTTGCTTAGCCATATTTGCTAAAACCGGGAACATTCTTTCTTTTCCCTTCCACCAGTTTAGTACGTCAAAATCATCATCTTCTTCAAAATCAACATCATAAGTTAAATACAAAGAAATCTCATTAATTGTGCTTTGTTGTGTAGCGGGAGTTGATTTTGTTTTTTTAATAAGATTGGCAAACGTAGATTTGAAAATTGATTTTCCTTTAGATGATGTTTGTGTCGGGGGAGGGGGCACATTGCCATATTGTGCATGAAACTCATTGAATAATGCATAAAATATATCACTAACATCGTTGTATTCTTTTTTCGGATCAATTGGGTTGTCCTCATACATTGGCAATGGACCAAAAAAAGCAGCATAATAATAATTCAAACATTCTTCTAAAGAACCAAGTCTAAAACGAGGATCGAGAACAAATGCAATACCATAAATATGCGGAATATGTGAATAATATTTTAAAAACTTTTCCTTCATAAAACCAGCAAAATAATTCACATAATCAGCATTCTCAAAATTTGAAAAAGCACCGGCGAGATTAACAGCTTCACGAATAAATTGGTTTGAGGTAGGTTTATAAACATGACTAAAAGTTTCAGTTGCATTATTAAAATATATCAAATCATTACAAATTTTTTCACAAGTGTCGATCTCAGCCGAGTTTATAATATAGTTATCATATTGTTTCATAAAAGCAGGAAAATGTTGTTTATATCTAAGAAGAACTCCAATTAACTTATAGGTACTATTCCAACAAATAGACAAATCTTTTGGAAAAGCCACATATCTCTCACCTCTTTCTATCAAATAATCATGCCATTTTTTCCTAAGGTGTCCATTACCCCAAATACGTCTAATCCCCCCTTGACTACCTCCAACGATGCTCCCAACGCTTTTAGACCATCTTGCACACATAAATTTAGAACATGACATGCACATCGTTGATGAAAAAATCTACCCATCAAAGAAGTAGAACCACACAATTCACGCAATCTAGGAATAGCAGCAGTATTATTAGTAGCATTATCAAAACCAATAGCAAACACCTTATCAATTAAATTATACTCAATTAAAATACGTTCAATCAAAATATAAATATGTTCAGCGGTGTGACGATCATTAAATTCACGGAAAGCAAGAACACGTTTATGCATATGCCAATCATTATCAATATAATGTACAGTCAGACCCAAATAATGTAAATTATGATAAGTATCCTCCCATATGTCAGAACATACAGTAACACGTCCATCAAAGTTTGCAAAATAATTTTGTAACCTTACCTTTTCCGCACCATAAAGCCTTGAAATTTCTTTCTTAACCGTTTTGCGACTATAACCTCTATATTGCGGATTTAAACAAGTTTGTGCATAATCACGAAAAGCAAGACTTTCAGAAAACAAATAAGGCAAATTTTCTTCAACAAGTAAGTTAGCCATACCTGTCAAATTTTGTGCATCATTGTATGAGAAATTACCAAAAGCTTGTTGGTTATTTGCAAACCTCGATATTTGCGTTTGTTTCCCCGTTCCGCCGCCTAATTTTGCATACTCCACCGGGTGTTTGGACTTAAGGTGTCTTGTGGCGGATCCGTATCCGCCGGAAATCCCCAAGCTATAGTTTTTCTTGCACCAATTGCAAGTTGCGGTCCAATTCCCGGTGTTCGGGTCCTTCCACTTAGAAAAATTATTAGCCATTAATTCAGATTTACTTTTTTTTGTACCTGTTTGGGATGAGGCTGCTTGGGCGGCGTCATGGCTGCCGCCACCCTCCTCCTCGTCGTCGTCGTGGCTCTCCGGAATTGCTTCCTCCACATCGTCGTCCTCGTCCTCGAGCTCTTCTTCGTCAATGGTCCTCGGTTGGTCTTGAAAAAAGCGGGAATTATGTCGGTGCAATTCTTGTTCTAGTTGTTCGTCGGTCATCGCATCCCCATCCCTCCTTACGTAACCCGTATCAAAATCATCTTGACTTTGAGATGAAGAGCCGAGATGTGATTTACCTTTGCGGGATCTCTTCCTCGCAAGCTCGTTCGTTCGGTTGCGCTCGAGGTTACCCATATCAACCGAATATCTAGGACGATCCATCTAAAAAATGTAGCAATTAATAAAAAATTGTAAAAAACTAATTAAGTATTTATCTAACTATTAATTCGAGTTATAGCAAATTAAGTAGTGAATTTACTAGTTTTGTGTACAACATATTTTATAAACTAGAGTCAAATGTAGCAATTAATAAAAAATTGTAAAAAACTAATTAACTATTTATGTAACTATTAATTCGAGTTATAGCAAATTAAGTAGTGAATTTACTAGTTTTGTGTACAACATATTTTATAAACTAGAGTCAAATGTAGCAATTAATAAAAAATTGTAAAAAACTAATTAACTATTTATGTAACTATTAATTCGAGTTATAGCAAATTAAGTAGTGAATTTACTAGTTTTGTGTACAACATATTTTATAAACTAGAGTCAAATGTAGCAATTAATAAAAAATTGTAAAAAACTAATTAACTATTTATGTAACTATTAATTCGAGTTATAGCAAATTAAGTAGTGAATTTACTAGTTTTGTGTACAACATATTTTATAAACTAGAGTCAAATGTAGCAATTAATAAAAAATTGTAAAAAACTAATTAACTATTTATGTAACTAGTAATTAAACAAGTGTAAATAATAGAATAATTTCGTACCTCTTTCGGACTTTCGGTCTTTCGGATGGGAGTAATAGAATACTTCAAATTAATTAGATATAATTCCAACTATATTAATAGATATAATAAATATATAAGTAATATATAATTAGATAACAAATATAAGTAATATAATACTATTTATATCTATTTATAGTTTATATAAGTAGATAATTAATATAAACTATAAATAATAAATATAATATATTGGAGAATGGAGAATAAGAGAATTAGAGAGTAGAGAGTTAAGAATAGGATTTAGGAAGAATTGGAGAAGAGATGAAAAAATGTTTAAGATTAGGAGTATTTATAGGTTTTTTTACCCCCACCCCCCCCCCCACCACCCAACCCCCCCAGACCCCCCTATAACCCACCCAACGGCTATATAGCCGTTTGGGTTGTCCCCAGCCCCACCCCCAACGGCTAGTAGGAGCCCAACCCAAAAAAAATTTTTTTTTTTAAAATTGATCGAACCGGACCCGGACCCGGGCCCGACCCAGCCGGGCCGGGTCACAAAATTGCTGAACCGAGCCCGCCCCGCCCCTTCCCCCCGGTTCGGGCCCAGACCCGGTCCCAGACCGCCCGACCGGGCCGGTCCCGGGCCCGCACAGTACCGGGCCAGGTGGCCCGAACCGAATCCATCTCTAATTTACATTATAAACTTTCATTGCAAAATAAATAATATTATCCTCAATCTATATAATTGCAACACTTTTAATTTGCTATTTTAAATTATGCAATTAATCCCTACCATCATATGGACACGATCTAATTTCAATCCAACTGAATCGGTTTTCTATATGGCAAAGCATGCCAATCAGCCAATGAGCCAATCTGGGTGGTGACAGAACCCCTCGGTTACAGTTCTATTGACTTGACGACCACAAAGTTGCTGGTCGAGGATGGGATTCAGATTTTAACTAAATGTGCATTTATAAAAAGGTGATCAGATGAATACTCCGTATAACTTAGTACCATGCCTATTTTCATAAAAAAAAAAACTTAGTAACATGCCTAAAGAGTAGCAAATGCTAATAATAACACCACGAAAAACAACCAAGCATTACAACTCATCTGGTTGCGAGGTTATCATCCCTAGTTGGATTGTGGGAGGTCTCGAGTTCGAAACCCGTTAGACACATAAAGGATTTGAAACTCAATGGAGTGAGTTTCAGCCCTGTTTACTTCAGGCCCCCTCAACCCTCCTCCCCCGGACCCTCTGGAGTAAAAAAAAACCCATGAAAAACATATCCGGTCTAAATCCAAAAACACATCAAAGAACCCTATTACCATTAGGCAATCCCACACCCCCTATCCTTCGCCGAGCATTGCTGCTGCTGTGCTTACGTGCAACCACAGCCCACCCGCCACCATCATCATCTTCAGCAGTTGACTGAGGAGACATGCATACATCACCGTCAAACGCCATTTCAGCACCACCATTAGCAGCAGCAGGATGAGACATCGGAAAATCTAGAGCCATCATATTTGATGTGCCACCACCATTATTAACTGGACTCCCAACATCAACTTCAGCATGAGAATCATCACTATCCGAGCTGTCATCATCACTCTCATAAACGGTTGCCTGCATGCAAAATTTACAGGGACGATCAAATTCAAAAAAGATTTTAACCGGTAGCATACGATGGAAGCATCACATTCTAGACTTAGGGTCCATTTGGGTAGAAGGATGAAATATAAGTCACCTTCCCAACATGGGCACCAATCCAAGTGGGTGGTTTCCAAGCCCTCAACCTCTCTACAAAACTATAGTCTCCTTTCGTGCATCCTTCATGCACACGCATCATATCGGATGCTACCTGATTAAAGATGAGTGCAATTGAGTTAGGACACTAGACAAATAATAACAATCATCATCATAACAAAAGTCAAAAGTATATTGTCAAACTCAAGAATCGTGAGATCCTAGATCAAAGCTGCCAGGCATACATACATATATGTCGGTGTGAAAAAATATGTGCGTATGAATGCACAGATTTTTCAAACGAGAGAAATGCATCTAGTGTGAGAAATGAGAATGAATCTCAACCATTAGATTTACGATATTGCACTATAAACAGCTTGATTTTTGCAATGTTGCACTAAGATTTGATGATGCATAAAACAGCTTCAAGTTGCACTACAGAGGTGGTAACACATATTTTTCAAAAGTATTCACAAAAATGACACCGCACATGCACTTTTACAATATTAAGTAATATACTTGAAATCAAGGGCTGAGATTCATTCTCGATTTTCACCTAAATACTTGTTCTTATTAGGATCTCACCCTATGTGCATATATACTTAACTTCAGAACTCTATTTATTCACTGGATTAACGCTGATATTAAGAACATAATGTCAACATTTAGGATATAAAACAAAACATTTAACATAATAAACTCAAAGATAAATTGCAAATAGTTTGAAACTTTGAACATAATAAAAAGACATCTTGGGAAAAATCATGTGGTGTGATATCTTCATCTTCGATAAGGCAGAAAGGTCACGAGAAAAGCACAAAAGAGTAGGAAAGTTTTACCCTTTTAGGAATGAAATAAAGCAGGCTAGAAAAAAATAACAATCTCTAGGACAGTAGTGAATAGAGAGTGACGACCCATAGAGAGGTGATTATCAAAGAACCCCCGATGTATTCCAGATGATAAGAAGTGCAGACATGCACTTAAGAAGAAAGTGACGACCCCTCTATTCAGTGTTCTGAGTTTCGACTTTCAAACTATTTCAAACCACCCTCCTGTCCTGGACGGCCACCTCGTTTTGAGGTGGTTCTTGATGATATTTTTTGCTCAAATTTTTTGAGCATGTTCCTCATAAAGTGTAGATGATCTCCACCAAAGTTCAGCAAAAAAAATCAATCGGGAAGGTAGTCAAATGATGCTTTGAAAATAATTGCGCAAAAATATACATAAAACGGAGTTATTTTCATAAAAATCATTTGACTGTCTTCCCGATTGCACTTTTTGCTGAAATTTGGTGGAGATCATCTACACTTCATGGAGTGCGTATACCGTGCAACGGGTGCATGGTGAGCACCATGCACCCATTGAATATTATTTTCTCTTTTTTTAAAAATGATAATAACTTTTTTATTTTTGATCCGATTTTTATAAAATTTATATCAACATTTTTTATTTTTCATGATCTTTCAAATGAGACCAATATTGCCTATGTAATTTTAACATATTAACATTTGCGTGTAAAATATGTAACTTTACGTGTTAAAATATGTAACTCACGTTCAGTCAGGCCAAATGCAACTCGTGTGTATAAATATGTATCTCTACGTGTAACAATATGTAACTTTACGTAAAAAAATATGTAACTCGCGTTCAGACAGGTCAAATGCAACTCGTGTGTATAAATATGTAACTCGCGTATAAATATGTAACTTTACGTGTAAAAATATGTAACTTTACGTGTAAATATATGTAAGTCGCGTTCAGGCATGTCAAATGCAACTCGTGTGTATATATATGTAACTCGCTTATAAAAAGATGTAACTTGCTTATAAAAAGATGTAACTCGCTTATAAAAAGATGTAACTTGCTTATAAAAAGATGTAACTCGCTCATAAAAAAATGTAACTCGATGTATTATCAAATGTAACTGAGACCACTGATCCACTCTCAAACAGATTCGATCTTCTATTTCACAAACCTATCATCTCCCAAACAGATTCGATTTTCCTTATAATCCAATACTCATTAATATAATAGCTCAATAATTTCTTAAAATTACATAAGCAATATTGGTCTCATTTGAAAGATCATGAAAAATAAAAAATGTTGATATAAATTTTATAAAAATCGGATCAAAAATAAAAAAGATTATCATTTTTTAACAACAAAAGCAAAAAAAAAGCAGCATGCTGCTTCCTTTTTGCAACCGGGCGCACCATTCTCATGATGCGCCGGTTGCACGGTATAATTTGCCCACTTCATGGGGAACATGCTCAAAAAAATTGAACGAAAATACCAACGGGAACCACCTCAAAACGAGGTGGCCGGACCACCCTCCTGTCCGGCCTAACCGGAGAGAAATATTTCTCTATATATAGATCCCTATATTTTTATATATATATGTTACCCCCATATGATAGGGTACCTCGAGAAGTTCTTTGGTGGGCCTTAACTAGGAAAGGCATATCACGCAAGTATATCAGCATCATCATGGATATGTATGAGGATTGTACTACAAGTGTTCGTACTAGTGTAGGGAGGACTGAAGAGTTCCCTATTACTATCGGAGTGCACCAAGGATCGGCCTTGAGTCCTTTCTTATTTGCCATAGTCATGGATGAACTTACGAAGTCAATTCAAGACGATATACCGTGGTGCATGATGTTTGCCGACGATATTGTATTGATTGATGAGACGCAATCAGGTCTTAAAGCAAAGTTGGAAGTATGGCGACAAACATTGGAGAATAAGGGTTTCAAACTAAGTCGGAGCAAGACAGAGTACATGGAGTGCAAGTTTGGTGGAGGTAGAAGTAGTGGTAATAGCGGAATTACTCTGGATGGTAAGGAGATACCGGTCAGCGATATGTTCCGTTACTTGGGCTCCATAATTCAGAAGGACGGTGAGTTAGATGGAGATGTATCCCATAGAATCAGAACAGGGTGGATGAAGTGGAAGAGTGCGTCAGGATTTCTATGCGACCGAGGTATGCCGACTAGACTGAAGGGTAAATTTTATAGGACAGCAATTAGGCCTGCATTACTGTATGGCGTAGAGTGTTGGGCGGTGAAACAATGTCACATTCATAAGATGAGTGTGACAGAGATGCGCATGCTGCGTTGGATGTGTGGGCATACTAGGAAGGACCGCGTGAGGAATGAGACAATCAGACAAAGGGTAGGAGTAGCACCTATTGAAGACAAGATGCGGGAGTCGCGTCTACGGTGGTTTGGTCATGTGCGTAGAAGACCGAGTGATGCACCTGTTAGGCGAGTTGAGATGTGTGGACAAGAGGCAGGGAAGAGAGGGAGAGGAAGACCCAAACAGACGTGGGTTAGGGGAGTTCGACGTGATATGCTTTTTCTGGGGTTGGATGAGGGCATGACTTTGGAGAGAACTAAGTGGAGGGCGGGTATTCACGTGAAGGAGTGATCTTGATAATTTTTTTCCCTCATCTTTTTTTTCGTAGTTTTTTTTATCCTTATATATATATATATATATATATATATATATATATATATATATATATATAATATATATATATATATATATATATATATATATATATATATATTTATAAGCATTATTTGCAACCTTTTTATTTTATCATTTATATATATATATTCATCTTTTTTATATTATCTTTTCATAATAGCTTATCTTTTTATCTTTATTCCTTCTTTTCCTTTTGGTTGTGATATCATGTATTGATTCATGTTAGCCGACCCCAATATCTTTTGGGACTAAGGTTGGGATGTTGTTGTTGTTGTTGTATGTTACCCCCACATTTCATTCCTTTAATTTTTTGAATGGGGTTCCAGTATTTCCTATTTCCCGTTTCCGCGCTACTTACATTGCAACAGATAATACAAGAAACTAGAACACAGCATTGAAAGAAAGTGAGCTCGATGAGGAAATTGGATAATAGATAGCTGGCCAGAGTCTTGTGATCAGACCAACTTCACAAAACACACTTATCAAACAATGCAATCGTTTAAATCTATGTTTACTTCAAAGCCATAGATAGCATGTAGTTGGTTAATGAAAACTGGGAGCATATATATATATATATATATATATATATATATATATATATATATATATATATATATATATGAAAAGCATTTCTACAAGATGATATTTTTGGCTTGTGGCCTATGTATCAAATCCTCAATTGAGGTGGTTGAGGTTAGTTAGTCTTGAAAAGAACCAATAATCCATTACTTCTATAAATATAATATGGTTGTAGGCTTATGGCAAAGGAAATGATAGAAAAGAGTTTCGGTGGAGTAGGATAGCATAAGGAAATATGGGATTTTATTGATGAGTGAATAGTGATGCGATTTCAAAATGCATCGCCACTTGAATGCTAGATGTTGCCTACTATAGTACCATCGACATCCACATTCTTTATACAGGGTTCTGCTATTCATTTGAAGTAGAGGCTTGATTTATTTCATTGCTTGGAAAAACTCATGCCAAAAAGAGCGGACTGGGAGAAAGCTGATATTAGGACTTACCACATGCAAAAAGGTCCTCGATATGCTAGTTGTAAAAGGTCACTTTAAAGAAGTCTTGGACAAATTCTCAGAAATCACTTTTAAAAAATGATGCAAAGCATGTTAGACGCTTTTTGACAAATAGACAATATAATACACATCTCTTAATCAGTGTTGTTACAGCGTTCCCTAGGTGTAGCCTAATCGGCAACTAGGTACCTGGCAATGGAGATGGGTTGTCAGTGCTCATCGCCTCTCCCTTACGAAGGTTCAGGCACCTTTGTCGTCGACAAGGACTGAACCAGGCATCACGCAAAAGTGATTGATTTCATTTTGTAAAATCATTTTTTAATAATTATTTCATTCTAGAATCCCAGACCAAATTTCCAAAAAAAGATTTAAAAAGTAGAATTTTAGAAAGTAATACTACGTACTACGTCTGTTCTTTTTCAATTGCGACAATTTGACTTTCACGTTTACCAACACACAACCTTGACTTAATTATATTTAATTACGTATTAATAAACACTACCGCAGTATGAAAATTAATAGTTTGGAAGTTCACATTAAGAGAAATTTAATAATATTTATACATAATAGTTTGAATATATATAATGTCAATAGTGTAAAATTCAAAGTGTTACAACTATTAAAGAACAGAGAAAGTATAAAATTATAAATAAAGGAATTTAAACCTTCTCAACGATTGAAACTCTATAGTCCAAAAACTCAAAAGCATTGATAGTCAAAACAACTCTATATTCAAAAGTCAGAACTCGAAAGTTGATTAGCCTGTGAAGACTCATGGGTTGAACTGTTGAAGATGACCTCTCTGACTCACTTGTTTTCATTTTTATCAGTATCATTTTCACTTCCTTTCTATCGAGTGCCACTCCTTATTTAATTAATTCTTATAGAGTATATAAGTATATTACTCCATATCACTTATTAACTTACTTCTGATATAGTGTCAGAGTAATAGAGTATATTATCACTTATCAGCTATCAATTATTTCTTTTACCATTTATTAGTATTGTCGAAAAATACTCTTTTCTGTTTTTATTTTCTTATAGAAACCATCATTGTTTTAAAAATTAGTGTTTGTAGAAAACTTAACTGTTTAATGTTTTATTGATTATTTCAGAAATACATTTTTACTATTATTTCCCAATAAATTACTTCTGAATTCTGATGCAGAGTATCAGAGTAATAAAGTATATTATCACTTATCAGTTACTCTGTATCAATTAATTCTCAGACGTTTTATTAGTATCGTCAAAAACATTTTTTCTGTTTTTCTTTTCTTTCATAAACTACCATTTTTGTTTGCAATTAGTACTTGTTAATAACTTAACCACTTGATGTTTTATTGCTTATTTCAGAAAGACATTTTTGCTCTTATTTCCCATCAATAAACCTTCTTATTATTGATATTGTGCCCACCTAGATAATTATATTTTTTTAGTTAAGTAAAGTTTGGAGAGTTTGCGGTAGTGGTGGGCAAGAAAAACCGTAACCGCTTAACCGTGGTAAATAACCGAAAAACCGGATTTTTTTTCCGGTTAACCATACCGTGTTTTTAAAGACTTGTGGTACGGTTAACCAACTGAAAGGATAAAGCGGTTCGGTTTTGAAATTAAATACCGCCGGTTAACCGATAATTCAAAGTTAAGATATTATTCCAAATTCATGTCAGTATGTCACAATAAGTTTTAGCCGAAATGTTTTATCTATTAGTATATATAAATTGAAGTATGGATCGATGGTTATTTAATTGATTTACTGGAATATTAATACAAGCGGCCGAGGGATTGACTATGCATGAAATGTGTAAGCCTAGCAACAACTAACCGACTACCTGATCAGGTAGTGGTTATCTAAAGGATTACCTTGAATTTCTAAATGAATTAATAATTGAAAACAAATATGAAGTGTATTAATTCCGTACGTATACTATGTGCATGCAATAAGATGCAACCCAGCCACCCAGGTCGTTAGTATCTCTTAACGGTTTCCTAAGAGGCTAAGACGGTTTTCCGGTTAACCAATTAATGGTTAACCTATATCATGGTTAAATATTACTCGGTTAACCATCATTACGGTACGGTTAATGATGTTATAAATATATTAACCGAAATATTGGTTAACCGTAAATTGGTTAACCAAAATACGGTTAACCAACCGTGCCCACCCCTAGTTTGCGGCACTGGGGTAATGATGAAGAAAGTTTGGAGAGTAAATCACCCACACACCCACAGAAATATATAGACAGAGAAAGGTAAGTAGTGACCTCCTTTATCTCAGTGTCATCTTCAAAAATGGTTTCCATCTCTTCCATCTCCCATAAGAGGATATCCTCCAAAACTTCTGGACATAATTCCTCCTCTGAAACCCAAATCACAAAAGTAGTATCACAAAATGTTCTTTTTAAAGCAGAAAGTTTGATGATTACGGTCAGCCCTAAAAAATTACTTCTGGAATTGATGAAGAAGGAGATGATACATGAGGAAAGCTTCTCAAGAGGGCGCCCTGATTGTTGGAGTGCTAGTTCAAGGGCTGTCCATCGAGAGAGGATTAGATTGATCCCTTCTTCCAAGATGGGAGACACCTTTGACATTGGAAGGGTAGTTGATGATGTTCTGTTTCCTTCGTTGTTGTCCATCTTTTTAACAACCCCACAAAATCTCAGTCTCCTACCTTTGCCACCAATGAAAACCCTGTTAATCTCAGGCTCAGTTATTCGTTTTAGTGTAAAATATTTAACAAGCCAGTGAACAATTAGACAAATTCAATTGGAGCTCTACTACAGCAACAATAACATCTATTTTGAGGTTTTTAGTCGGAAAATTCTATCACAATAGGAGTTCAAACATAGCAATAATGACATCTATATTGAGGTTTCAGTGACAAAATTCAATCAGCCGAGTCTTACACTAGCAATAATGCCATAAACTTTGTGGCATCAAGTTACAAAATTCGAACTTTTTAATATTTATCCCAACCCAGCAATAATCTGCAGAATTTTGGCTATCCTCTGTACGAAGGTAACACTGCCAGAGTATTGGTTGGTCATTAAGTTACAGCTTATTACAAGTTTACAACTCCTTAATTTAGAAAATGATTCATTGTTTAAATGAAAGAACAGATAAAGAACGAACCTTAACAACACCCTCTATTCACTGCTGATAAGATATAAAAAGACACTAGTATGATAGTATGTAAGAATAAACAAAACAAGATGGCCATAAAAATAAGAAGACAGTTAGTAAAAATCGACTAACCTGGCCGAATTAGACGAACGGCGTGGTGTAGACTGCGTCCGATCTAAGGGGAAGAGGAGATGGAAACGGAGAGCAATCTAGCGTCCGGCTGAGGGATGAGCGGTAGATCGCCTGGCGGAAGTGGGGTTTGGGTACTCCCATATCGAAGTATGTTTTAAAAAGAATGACCTAAAAAGAACTATGATTTCAATGACGTCAACATGTTTGGCGTTCATTTTCTTCTTCTCTTGCTATTCTTCTCTTTTTACTCGTACGAGTGGGGATGGTGAAGATCTAACAATGGCGGCTGATTTGTTGATGGCAATTTGGCATAGATTCGTTGGCGAGCGAAATAGTTGTGGCGGCTAGGGTTTTTTGTGCGGCAACGATGACGGCCCAGGCTTGGGGCAGGACGGAGCATGGCGAAGGCAGTGGTGGAGCACTAGTGGTGCTAGATCAGCCATCCTTGATGGATGACGACCCAATTTGGGGCCGCAGGGACTGACGGTGTGTCGTGAAGGGGTGCGGTGGTGGTGTATGGGTAGGATTTTTGGCGAGCCAGAGAGGGGCATGGGAGCTGGTGTGTATGTCTATGGGAAGGTCAAGGCCTGGGTCATCGGGGAGCTGGTGACCCACGACCACTATGTGACAGTTGAGGGCCGAGGGCTGGTTGGGGTGAATAGCAGTGACATGATCATTATGACAGTGTCATTATGATCGGAGTCATTGTGGCGGTGTCATTGTGGCGGCGCTACTGTGGTGGTTTAAACGTTGTCGGAGTCACTGTGGTCGGAGATACTGTGTCACTGGGTTACTCGATTTGTGCCACTAGAGTTATGTCACCGTGTCATTGCAAGTCTAAATTTGTAATGTTAGTCACATTTTTTGAAATTGAAATAGGGTCACTTTTTTCTATTATCCATTTTTAGTAATATTCGGGTCAAAAACCTATGTTGTAAATCTCATAACTTAATCCAAATTTAACCTGCGTGTAAAATTCTCACGCATTGATAAGCATTGAAATATTAAAATAGATCTTATAGATTGCATTAGCCGCAATTAATTAATTTATATCTGCCTTGGTTTATTAATCTTAAATCTCAGTGTTTATTGTAACATCATTTTCATACATTGACTCGTGTGTTACCCAGAAATGTTGCATCATTGGTATTCATTTATTTGAAGTATAAAATGCATTAATTGAATTTCAATGTTACTTATTAGAAGATTTGGGACATGTGAAAGCAAAGCTTGAATGGTCGGAAAAACATTTAAAAATTCTGCTACCATGCGCGCAATTGAAGATGAATATTGGTCAATACAGTGTGATGCATATTTTTACATTGCTACTAATAGTGGTATAGAACACATACTCTCAATATTAACATTTATATTACATGTGATGTGGATTGAAATTATTTGTGCCGTTTAATCGACACAAAAATCACATTCAATTTGCAAAATAAAAAATATGTCTTCATACGCTACGACTCTTAAAAATGTTATGAATTGCCCGCATGAACAACTCAATTGGTCACAAGCATGAAATTTGGATCAATTTAAGTGACCCAGCCACCCAGGATCTATTCTGGCAAACGGCAATGTGGGAGTAACCTCTCAATGTTAGGGGGACTCGTGTGCAATGGACAATGATCTAGCCTTTGTACTTAGCTAAGTCCAGGGCAGAACTACGGGGTGCGAGCAGGTGAACCCCCTTTGCCGGAGCTCACACTGTGTGTGTGTGTATGTGTATATATATATATATATATATATATATATATATATATATATATATATATATATATATATATATATATATATATAGATTTAGGTTCATGTGAGAATAAGATCTTAGGAGAGAAAAAAGAATAGATTACAGCCCTTGGATTACCTTATTTTTTCATCTATTAATTCATTTCCGCAGAGGGTATTAAGGTCAAGTTCGAAATTACCGTTTCCTAAGATCTCGTGCGTTATTCTTTCCTTAACTAATTCTCCGCAATTCTTTCCTAACCGCTTCTCTCTTTCTCTGCGAACAATCTTCTTGCTTCATGAACGTAGCTTTCCTTCTACGAACTGAGTTATTTCGTCATCTTCTGGATTCTCCATTCTAGAATTCTTCATGGAGTTCGGTTAGTGTTGATCGATACGTACAGATGTTATGTTCTCTTACAATACGAGTGATTCTTGTATATTCGTTTAATTATTTTATGTATATTCATAATCAACACGAATTCAAAATACGTCTTATTCATGTGCATGCCAATCAACACGTTTACCAGTTTAATTTTATGTATAGAAGTTAAACGAATGATTCACTGTTTCTTGTAGATGTTGTATGTAATGCGTTTTTAACTTACCTGTTCTATATCTATGTAATGCGTTTGTAACTTACCTGTTGTATATTAATAAAAACAATTGGTTGTATTTTGATATTAAAATTTATTATTATCTTGATTGTGCACTTTAAAGTGTATTATGTTGCTCGTGTTTGGGTTTCCATATTGCACTTTTGTTGTACTCTATGGCCTAAAGCCATTTTTTTGAATAATTCGTTTGTATGATGTCATCAGGTTCAAGTGACGTTCCCTTTAGTGCCTCTACATCGATTTCTGAACCGTTAGATGTTAATACAGTGCAACTTTCTCCCGGATCCACCATGTACTGGACACCTGATTGCGACCCTGATTTGAAACCGTGTGTTGGTATGTTATTCAATAACTTACGTGATGGTATGCTTTTTTATGATCAATATGCATCAGTTGGTGGTTTCGAATCACGTAAAAGCAGCCAACAGAAGGCTCGTGATGGTGTTATTGTTTGGAAATATATGGTGTGTAATAGACAGGGATTCAAAAATGTATCTAAATCTACCACAGTTGCACCTAAAACTGATTCATGCATCAATGACGATTTAGCTAATCAATTGATTAGTGACAATGAAGATTTCACTATTGAAAATGATTCAAGCGAATCTGATGGATGTGAAACTGATGAGCAGCATGATGTTGAATATTTACCAACTCCCGGTGTGTGTGTTAAAGATGAGGAGAGAAAAAGACGAAGGGTTTCTAATAGGTGTGGTTGCAGAGCACGTGCAGTTTTTAGGCTTACATGCATGAATCGATATGTAATTACATTCTTTGAGGAGAGGCATAACCATTGTATGTTTTCTGATTCATCGCAGCCATTTCTAAAAGTCAATAGAAAACTAGACATTGGACATCAAAAAAAAATTTGAATTGTGCCAAAGCAAATATTGGCACAATGAAATGCTATCGTTTGTATAAGGAAACTGTCGGGGGTTATGCTAATATTGGTGCTACATCCGTGGATTTTAAGAATTTTAAACGTGATTTGAAGGCTTATTTAGTTGGTGTGGATGCACAAATGTTGATAGATAAGCTTTTTAGAAAGAAAGAGATTTCTTCCGCCTTTTCATTTGACTATGATGTTGATGAGAGTGACCAGTTGACACGAATATTTTGGGCGGATCCGGTGTGCATAAAGAATTATGCATTATTTGGGGATGTTGTTTCGTTTGATGCTACATACGAGACAAACAGGTATTGTGTAAATAAATAATTATTCGTTTTTTTAACTTCATAGTTTTTATAAATTTATGAATGCTATAATTTCGAATCTTTACATATGATATGCATTTCATGTTATTCGTAATGCACAATGTTATATTCGTGATTGCATTTTTTTATTTATTTCTCAATGTAGGTATAACATGGTTTTTGCTCCTTTCACTGGCGTTGATAATCATAAGAAGTGCATTACTTTTGGTGTTGGGTTGTTGTTGAAAGAAGATGTTGAATCATATGTTTGGTTGTTTCGTTGTTTTTTGAATGCAATGGGTCGGGAACCTAGGTGCATCATAACAGATCAAGATCCATCCATGAAAGTTGCTATTCCACAGGTTTTCACTACAACATGTCATAGATTTTGTATGTGGCATATCATGTCCAAGGTGAGTTCTAAAGTTGGTCCGGTTTTGAGTAAAGACTCAAATTTTATGAAAGAATTGAATTCAGTCGTGTGGAGTCATTACTTGCAGCCATCAGAATTTGAATTGAGATGGACTAATTTGATGAGAGAATATGACCTACTTGAGCACAATTGGTTTTCTCACATGTTTGAGATTAGGAAGATGTGGATTCCTGCTTTTTTTGGTGATCTTTTCATGGCGGGCTTGCTTAGAACTACATCACGTTCAGAGAGTGAAAATAATTTTTTCAATGAATTCACTAATCCTAATTTTAGTTTGGTTGAGTTTTATATGCAGTTTGAAAGTGCAATGGATTCTCAAAGACATAAAAGTGCACAATTGACCAAAGCTTCTGAGTCCTCCATTCCCGAGTACAAGACTCCGCTACATATTGAAAGATATGCTTCCTCTATTTATAATCTTTCAATTTTTTATCTCGTTCAGAAGGAAATATGTTGCGCCTGTTATTCTTGTGCCGTTCAAAGTCTCCAACACGAGGGAATAGTTTTTACTTATGTCATATCAGATGAGCGAGGATTAAATTTCACACTTGTACACAATACAAGTGACGGTACTACACTTTGCTCTTGTAAACATTTTGAGAGGATTGGTATATTGTGTCGTCATATTTTTTTCGTGTTGAAAGATAAGAAGGTCAACGCAATTCCAGATAGATATGTCCTACGTCGATGGTGCAAAGATTCAATTCTGAAACCTCTTAATGCATTTGAAGATGGTGTTTTCAAACAGTGTGTTGGTACTGAAGAACAAACATTAGCTATGAAGACATTGTGGTCTGATATCCATTTTTGTGTTGGAATGATTGAGCATCATCCTCACTTGTTGCAGCAATTTTCTGATGTTATTAAGGTCCAAAAAGAATTATTGTCTAGCTCTCAACCAAGTAGTGCAGCAGCATCTTCAAAAAGTGAAGTTATTAAAGGCTTTTATGGGTCACCTATTCCTACACAAATTAGCGTGCATCCACCTCAGCAGGCTCGAAATAAGGGTTGCGGTAAGAGAATTAAAAGTGGCAAGGAGAAGGCAATTGAAGTGAGTAAGAAGAGTAAGCGATTATGTAGAAAATGTAATCAAAAAGGTTATCATGATAGTAGGAATTGTCCACTGAACTTGGAAGAATGATTATTATTATTTATTCATTATTAGAAATTGTACTTTTACGTTGGAGCTAGTATTAGTCTTTTTTATTGTTATACACTAGGAATTTTAATTTTGACTTGTCCCAAATAATATAACTTCAACATGGAATGTTATTTCAAAATTGTTGATTATTAGAACTTGTACTTTTACGTTGTGATAATCTAACTTATCCCAAAGAATAATATAAGTCACTCTAATGCATTGTTATTTCAAAACCGTGCATTTTGCAAAACCCCATTGTGCACTGCTGTATTTTTTCAAACATGCAATCTATATTCTGTTTCACATCGCATATTACAATAATGCACTTCCACTTAATCTGAAAATAATTTTTGCATTTTTAATAAATATTTGTGTGTGAGGTTTTACTGATTTTGATTTTCAAACCGTCATTTGTTCACGATTAACAGACATTATATTTGTTTGTATTCATCAAATAATGCATCATTTCAAACAAATGTTTCATTTTTTTAAGCAAATAGTGCATTTTTATTTAAACCAACCACACACATAAGTAACCATATGCACTTTATTAAGTCTATTGTGCAATATGTGAACACATATTTTTCATATTTGCATACACCTTGTAGATATGCTCATTCACTACTCCAAATAACATTGTAAATCAGTGTTGAATTAACGCCAAAAACGAATCCATTTAAATTCAAAAACTTTAATTTCAAGCATCAAAACCTAATTGTGTTTGTAACCAACAAAACCAATGCGTAAGGTGTCACACCTTTTAAAACCAAAATCTATGTCTCACAAGAATTAAAAATTCAAGCATTGACATGAAGATTGTTTACTCTCAACATCATATCTACTTCTTAATGTTTTTCCCCTTCCCAAATTTCTTGACTTCGCTCAAGTTCTTTTCCTTCATCTCATTAAGTTCCTATGTAATAATTGCTGCACAATATTTCACTCGCAATGCATTCAGTTTCTTTGCTTCCCCTTTCTTCACTCCACACTCCCATCCCGTGGTGCATTGTCCCATGTAGGTCTCCATATGCCTCATGCTCCACACGCCATAGTCATGCACATTTTTAGCTTCTCTCCAACTCATCTTTAATCTCTTCAAATTTGGCGTGTAAAATGTATTGTTGTCATTATCAAGCTCCACTTCGCATAAATAATCAACAAACATATCTCGCTGTTTTAAAATTTTCCGAGTCAAGCAATTAATATTTGAAAGTCAAACATTTATTATGTATTATGATTTTCATGCGTATAACTTAAAAACTCACCATTGTATATGGCATCTCCCCATATTTTTCATCAAAGTGCATATTATCAAGTGTGTTGTCTAACACTTCTAGTTGCTGTTTTTTCATGTCAAAACACACAACATAGCAATGCTGCTGTTGCACAACCGGAAAAAAGAACTGCAAAAAAAAGTTTGTTTAAAAATATGTATACACACCTAATAAAAGATTAAGTATGACGCGCACACAAACATATAAGGATTTGATTTACCAATTCAACATCTTGCATTTTAATTTCCGGTTGTACCGTGTCCAAAGCCAGCGTAATTCCTTCTTTAAACAATGCATACGCCTGGTCTTCAGGTGTGTCTTGCTGCGTGGTATACAACTGTCAAAAAAAGGCACAACCGAATATCAAATATGCTCTTATCTATCAAAAAAGTGCACGTTATAATGAAATGGACAATTTTTGTTTACTTATGATTCTTACACAAGGAATTGATTTTACAAACAATCTGCATGGTGACGTGGCACTGCGTATTTTTTCCTTAACATTCAAGCACACTGTCCACGCATCTAGGACGTTACTGCACATGTGTTTTTTCTCTCCGAGGGTAAGCATCTGACCTCGGTTTATTGTAATCTGCTTGTACTTGAAAAGTATGTCATCCCTAAATATAAACAATATAGTTTAATATGTTAGTTTCGTTTATAATTTACGCCATTAATAACAATTGAATGTATAACAATTTTTTTTCCTTTTTTAACCTCTTATCAGTAGCATTTTGCATCACCCATTTCCATATTCCTTTTTCTTGTGCATTTGCTGTGTCATTTGGGTCAACAACTCTTGCAATGAATGGCGATTTTATTACTTCCGAAGCCTTAGTTGTCCTTCTTGGCCTCAAATAAGTACTTCTTCCTAATGCCAATTTCTTCTTTGCACCTTTCATTGTTACCTGTTGCTTATGAAATCAAGAGACATTGCCTATGAACACTCCCCAATCACATCAATAATAATGTGATAATAATAATATCATATTATTAGTATATTAATAATAATGCAATACTAACACATAATGTAGATGCACATTACACTAAGAACACTCAAACATGAAATATGAAATGCTTAAATAAATATTACACGATCTACACCTCTCCATTTGAAATGTAATTTAAATACATATTTTCAAGATACCATATTAACTGCACAATAACGCATAATAAAGTGCACAATTTGCTTACCTCATCAACAACTTCCTTTCCTTTCCCTTTCTTACTTCTCCCATCCCCTTCCAATTGAACCTTTACAAAAATTTCGAATACTTATACTACTTTTAGTTTCGAACACTACGTTTTATATTAGAGGAAAAAAACAGACATAATGCACATTAATAACAAACAACCTGCATATTGGGAAATACTTACCTCAAAAACGGGTTCCATACTATTTGGTGTCTTACTTCTCATATCTTCGTCTACCTGAACCTTAAATAAACTTGAATTAATTCCTCACCAGTTGTACTACTTGGGCTCAAAATTACACATTATTCATTTATTATTTATAAAATTTAATTTAATCACCTCAACAAATGCTTCTTTTCCATGCATTCTTTCAACCATCATTTCTCCATGAACCTTCAAAATATTTGAAATGTTGAAATTAAGTTTAGTTATTATATATGCTCATTTCAAGATACTGAATGAACAGTCTAGCATCACCAAATGCACGTTTTTATGTTTAGGTTTTTCTATTATAATGCATTCTTTTAATTTTTGAAAAGTGGACTAACCTCAACACCTGCTTCAGTTCCCCCTGATGCCTCACGTCTCAGATTACCCTCTTCTTCAGCTTAAAATAAATTGTAAATAAACACATTATTTTTGTAGATCAGTTAGTAGATTATGAGTTAGGTTTTGTATGTATACCAACCATATCATCATTCACTTCTTTATCAATCTCTTCACACAATTCTGTTATGCTCCCCCATTGTGTCTGTTTTTCTTGTGTCAGTCCTATTGAAAAGGACGGCAGCTCTTCCAATTCCTTCGCGTACAAATACTTCTTCATATTCGCTCTTTCAACTCTTTCAACTGCACTTATTGTTTCCGCCCAAAACGCAACGTCTTCTATCTCTGCAGTGCTTCTTATATCAACTTCTTCTCCATCATCCACCATCCTTTTCATCTTTCCTAGCACAATCAACTGTTGTGCACCTTCTTGCAATTTCTTGTACTTTTCTGATTCAGTTAAACTCCTCGGAGCTTCTTCACACATATTTATCACATCAACCACATTTTCTGCCAGCAACTTCGTTTTTTGTGCGAATCTTATCACAAATTCCTGTAAATATTATAAATATTTAAAGTAAGTTCATGCACAAAACTATATACAAATTGCACAATAGTTCACTAAGATTCTAATCCATACCTCAGCAATTCCAGTACCAGTACAGTGCACAAATGGACCGCTTCCACTTTTCCCATCCATTTCTTTTTCAGAATTCAAATCCCTCTTTGGTGAAAACTCTTCAATTCCCATAGGACCTTCACAGTACCCCATTCCAAACCCCCCAGACTCTATTTCCATCAATTCTCTATCTCTCAGTTGTTTTCCGCTCCACCCTTTCAGAACTGGAGAAGTCCTATCCACTTTGCGCGTGTATAAAACAACACGGTCCACATAGAACAGCTGCACAAAACATGTTTTTTAATATATTGTAATAGTTATGAACATATAAAAGTAAAAGCCATATAGACATATTTCATTTGCTTAACTTACTATTAAAAAAAGCAATGGACCGGTAAAGGCCTTTTCTTTCTTCTTCTCCCATGAAACTTTCTTCTCAATTAAACAATTAATAACATGGTTGCACCAATTCAGTTCACTTATCTTTTCAACATCTTCCAAGTGATTCATTATCAGTGGAGTCACATACCCATTCTGGGTGCTATCTAGTAGCAAATACACAACAAGAACAACGAAATGCCTTTTGAACCAGTCACCTCCTTCACTTTTGCTCAGCATTGCTGCACTAACATCTGATGGGCTAATCTTATAGTCCTCTTTGTCAAATATAGCTCTCCATTCTTGCAGCAGAGCACAGTCTTCATTTTTCTTCTTTTGGACAATTTTTTTCCCTCCTAAAGGAAAACCCAAGACTCTTGCAACATCCTCTTCTGTTATACGCACAATACTCCCATCTAGCAGCACTAATGAGCATTTTTTGGGATCAAAGTTTTCAACCACCCAATAACCTAGCTTTCCAGGAATTTCAGCAATATCTAGATTAAATACTGCACCAAATCCTATTTTTTTTATATCTTCTTTCTGAGCGTCTGTCATCCCACTCAGAGCTTTAACTAACACATGTGGTGACGATCGCGTACGTATTGACCTATAGCCAGATTTGATCTCTTTTATACTTCTTTTCTTTGCCATATTTTCAATCAAATCAGTCTCAACACATCCAAGAATGGGCTGAACCTGAAAGTCATCATCACTTTCATGTTCTGCTCCTTGTTTCCTCTGTCTCTTCTTAACAGTTCGTTTGGATTCATTTGCAGGCGAATCATTTGTTCTCTTTCCCTTTCCTTTTGTAACAGTCTGCATTGTTGTTTCTACCATTTCTGAAATTTGCAATTTAATGCAAAATTTTAATTAATTTATGCATTTCAATAAATGGCAACTAAAATTTGAGAATGCTCAATCCTCTTTATCCATTATGCAATTTATCAAATTACAATACCACTTTTTGATGTTTCAATTACACTTTCACACATAATACACAATCAGTTTGGAGTTACACTTTCTGACATATCAGATGCACTTTATCAAATTGGAGTTACACTTTTTAGCTTCACACAATGCGTACAACACTCAACATATATGTCAATGCACTTTACTTTAATTCAATGTCAGTTTTCTCATTATCAGGGTATATAACATTTAGCAAGGTTCATAACAACACTACAAGTTCACAATCACCCTAAATACTATTTCAAAATTTCTTGTTCAGGGAATCAGGGGTGTTCATAATACATATACAAGAACGCACTCTCTTTAGTTGAAATTGCACTTTATGAAATTCCAAATTCCATATGCACACAATGAACCAAACCAATATATCACTTCACTGTTAACAGAACAACACAAAACATATATACCAATGGACTATACTCTATAAGAGTTTTACTTTTTACATGACTATAACATTTAAAAGTTTCATAACCACAAAACAAGTTGAGAATCATCCTGAACCTATTAAATGCAGTGTTTGTCCATCATGGATATACAAAATTGATGATTATTCATCCTGAACTCTTGCATTGAATCGGATGCACATTTACGGAACTTAAATTATAACTACACCTTCAATAACTTAAATTCATGCATATCGAATTTAAATTATCACTTAAAATATCACTTTTCATAGTTTTTGATGCAAACACGTTCAAGAACGTTCACCAGAATCTTCAAGTTTCAACATGCACTAAATCTGTAATACCAAAAAATCCTACCAAATACACAGTGAGCAAATGACTTTCGCATTTTTCGTACCTGTAGCACATTTTCGGCTTCCAGATGCTCCTTCGGTATCGTTCGTTGATGCCATCTTCAATCCAAAGCTTCGTAGGGTTTCGCCGGTTCTTGATAATTTCTTCCAAGCGTGAGTACAGGTCTGTCTTCAGTAGAACTCTGCACAAGGCAGTTTCCTTCACCGGCACATTAACCGGGATTCTTGCCATAATTGGCCCAACCGCCATAATTACTCGCTGATTTCTTTTACCAAAATGCCCTTTAAAGATTTTTGCAATGCACGTTTGGCTTTTTAATTAATCCCACGCACGTCTCACGTGCATTTTTTAACAGCCGGAAGCTTCGATCTAAGCCGCAGGATTGAAATGATGGAAGGCCAAAAATCATTCTCATTTCTCTCTTGGGAGTCTATTCTCACTGGAACCCTCCCCTATATATATATATATATGTATGTATGTATGTATGTATGTATGTATGTATGTATGTATGTATGTATGTATGTATGTATGTATGTATATGTTCAGCCCCGTGTCAAGATCATAATAAACATTAAGCACCCTGTATCAAGACTAAAAGTTGGAGTAGTTTGATGATTGAAGCGTGTTTCACCTTAGGGAGAGATGTGGGTTCGAGTCCCACTGTGCTCTTTTTAATTATTACGTATTAAATATGTGTCATCTTTTTAATTAGATGTACCAAGTATTAAACTTCCTCTATTTGCCATCTAAACTTTGGGGTGCTATTAGTTTTAATAATTTTTCTATCACTTCAAGATTTCTTTTACCTTTTATTTTACATTTTTATATTTTTTTCAATTCAATTTTTTTAAAATTTTTCGAATATTCACATGTTATATATTTACATTTTCCGTTTTGTACAATGACACTAAAAAATGATGTGTAACTATTTCTTCTCAATTCAAACATTGACCTGTATCATTTTATAAGCAGTTTATAAAAAAAATTAAGTGATTTGAATTTTAACATAACTATTTATTCTTTGGTTAGTACCAATATGTCAAAATTTCTTGTTAATATTTGAAATATCTGACTTTATAAGAGTATAATTAGATTTATGTAATATATTTTCATAAATAAAACAAATATCCATTTAAAAAATAAATAACCTACAAGTAATGTTGATTTGAAAAGAGGAATACAAAATTATAATTTTCTTGCTAAGTTAGTAACTTATATATATATATATATATATATATATATATATATATATATATATATATATATATATATATATATATATATACATACATATACTAGACGAAGTGCTCGTGCGATGCACGGGTACATCTAGCATAGAATAACAACTTGTTTAAATGATCTTTTATAATGATGATTGGTAATGTGTAATTTTGTTAAAAATAAATAGTACGGTTTAAGAGCCCGTTTGGTAATCCAAATATTCATTTTATCGATCAACTTTTTTACCAAAAACATTATTGATTTCTCGCGTTGAATTGTGTAATAATAAAAAAACTTAACGGGATGCAAATTCAATCTAATATCTAAATTGAGGTCCTAAATCTAATTTTGTAATACTCGGCCAAAAAAATCTAATTTTGTAATACAATATCATTTTCAAATTTGTATTAGAAAGTATTACTTCCGTTGGGACCAGCCTGTTATGATATACTCCTTTTGTCCCGAAATGAAGATCCCGGTTTGACCTACACACATATTTATGTAACAATATAAGATAAAGTTTTGTTTTGAGTTTCCATGTACCTTGCTTTATGTCAAATCAAAAAGAAAATGGGTAGAAGTAATAATAGTTGTGACTTATTGGTTAAAAGTAGTTTCCTTTTATAGAAATTAGAACTTCTTTTAGGGACATACATAAAAGGAAAGTGATAACTTTTTTCCGGAATGGGGTAGTACTATTGTATAATTTATATTATTATCAAGAGATAAAGAAAAATGCTAGTTGTACATTTTATTTCGTATAGTATAAGCCAATATGAGTCAAATTTGCTACTTCCCCTACACACACACACACACACACACACACACACACACACACACACACACACACACACACACACACACATATACACACTTGTGCGGTTTTTAATTTTAAATGACAATAATGAGCATCTATTAGTAATTGGCTGCCGTCCATATATATTTATTTTTTATTCAACATTTATTTCCAATTATATCCTTCAAATGGGCGGGAATTTTGCCTCCAAAAAGTGTAGCAATTTTGCTACTTTATATAATATAAAGAATATATATACGTGTGCGGTTTTTAATTTTTAATGACAGTAATGAGCATCTATTAGTAATTGGCTGCCATCCATATATATTTATTTTTTATTCAACATTTATTTCCAATTATATCCTTCAAATGGGCGGGAATTTTGCCTCCAAAAAGTGTAGCAACTTTGCTACTTTATATAATATAAAGATTTATTTCCAATTATATCTTTCAAATGGGCGGGAATTTTGCCTCCAAAAAGTGTAGCAACTTTGCTACTTTATATAATATAAAGATAAAGATTATCAGGAGAAAAAGAAAAATACTAGTTGTACATTTTATTTCGTATAAGCCAATATCAGTCAAATTTGCTACTTCCCCTATATATATATATATATACTTATGCGGTTTTTAATTTTTAATGACAGTAATGAGCATCTATTAGTAATTGGCTGCCATCCATATATATTTATTTTTTATTCAACATTTATTTCGAATCATATCCTTCAAATGGGCGGGAATTTTGCCTCCAAAAAGTGTAGCAACTTTGCTACTTTATATAATATAAAGATTATCACGAGATAAAGAAAAATGCTAGTTGTACATTTTATTTCGTATAAGCCAATATCAGTCAAATTTATTACTTCCCCTATATATATATATATATATATATATATATATATATATATATATATATATATATATATATATATATATATATATATATATATATATACTTGTGCGGTTTTTAATTTTTGATGACAGTAATGAGCATCTATTAGTAATTGGCTGTCGTCCATATATATTTATTTTTTATTGAACATTTATTTCCAATTATATCCTTCAAATGGGTGGGAATTTTGCATCCAAAAGTGTAGCAACTTTGCTACTTTATATAATATAAAGATAAAGATTTATTTCCAATGATATTCTTCAAATGGGCGAGAATTTTGCCTCCAAAAAGTGTAGCAACTTTGTTACTTTATATAATATAAAGATAAAGATTTATTTTCAGTTATATCCTTCAAATGGGAAGGAATTTTGCCTCCAAAAAGTGTAGCAACTTTGCTACTTTATATAATATAAAGAATATATATATATGTATATATATACTTGTGCGGTTTTTAATTTTTAATGACAGTAATGAGCATCTATTAGTAATTGGCTGACGTCCATATATATTTATTTTTTATTCAACATTTATTTCCAATTATATCCTTCAAATGGCCGGGAATTTTGCCTCCAAAAAGTGTAGCAACTTTGCTACTTTATATAATATAAATATTTATTTCCAATTATATCCTTCAAATGGGCGGGAATTTTGCCTCCAAAAAGTGTAGCAACTTTGCTACTTTATATAATATAAACGTTTATTTCCAATTATATCCTTTAATTGGGCGGGAATTTTGCCTCCAAAAAGTGTAGCAACTTTGCTACTTTATATAATATAAAGATTATCAGGAGATAAAGAAAAATGTTAGTTGTACATTCTATTTCGTATAAGCCAATATCAGTCAAATTTGATACTTCCCCTATATATATATATATATATATATATATATATATATATATATATATATATATATATATATACTTGTGCGGTTTTTAATTTTTAATGACAGTAATGAGCATCTATTAGTAATTGGCTGCCGTTCATATATATTTATTTTTTATTCAACATTTATTTCCAATTATATCTTTCAAATGGGCGGGAATTTTGCCCCCAAAAAGTGTAGCAACTTTGCTACTTTATATAATATAAAGTTAAAGATTTATTTCCAATTATATCCTTCAAATGGGCAGGAATTTTGCCTCCAAAAAGTGTAACAACTTTGCTACTTTATATAATATAAAGATAAAGATTTATTTCCAGTTATATCCTTCAAATGGGCGGGAATTTTTGTCTCCAAAAAGTGTAGCAACTTTGCTACTTTATATAATATAAAGATTATGAGAAGATAAAGAAAAATGCTAGTTGTACAATTTATTTCGTATAAGCCAATATCAGTCAAATTTGCTACTTCTCCTATATATATACTTGTGCGGTTTTTAATTTTTAATGACAGTAATGAGCATCTATTAGTAATTGGTTGCCGTCCATATATATTTATTTTTTATTCAACATTTATTTCCAATTATATCCTTCAAATGGGCGGGAATTTTGCCTCCAAAAAGTGTAGCATTTTTGCTACTTTATATAATATAAAGATTATATCCTTCAAATGGGCGAAAATTTTGCCTCCAAAAAGTGTAGCAACTTTGCTACTTTATATAATATAAAGATTTTTTATTCAACATTTATTTCCAATTATATCCTTCAAATGGGCGGGAATTTTGACTCCAAAAAGTGTAGCAACTTTGCTACTTTATATAATATAAAGATAATAATAATTATATTATTATTATTATTATTAATATCACTATTATTTATATTTATATTATTATTATTATTATTAAAAATAGTACAGTTTAAGAGCCCGTTTGGTAATCCAAATATTCATTTTATCAATCAACTTTTTTACCAAAAATATTATTGATTTCGCGCGTTGAATTGTGTAATAATAAAAAAACTTAAGGGGATGCAAATTCAATCTAATATCTAAAATGAGGTCCTAAATCTAATTTTGTAATACTAGGCCAAAAAAATCTAATTATGTAATACAATATCATTTTTCAAATTTGTATTAGAAAGTACTACTTCCGTTGGGACCAGCCTGTTATGATATTCTCCTTCTGTCCCAAAATGAAGATCTCGGTTTGACCTACACATATATTTATGTAAGAATGTAAGATAAAGTTTTGTTTTGAGTTTCCATGTACCTTGCTTTATTTCAAATCAAAAAAATGGATAGAAGTAAGAATAGCTGTGACTTGTTGCTTAAAAGTAATTTCCTTTTATAGAAATGAGAATTTTTTTTAGGGAAATCCATAAAAGGAAAGTGAGAACTTTTTTCGGGACGGGGTAGTACTTTTGTATAATTTATATTATTATTAAGAGATAAAGAAAAATGCTAGTTGTACATTTTATTTCGTATAAGCCAATATCAGTCAAATTTGCTACTTCCCCTATATATACTTGTGCGGTTTTTAATTTTTAATGCACTAATGAGCATCTATTATTAATTGGCTGTCGTCCATATATATTTATTTTTTATTCAACATTTATTTCCAATTATATCTTTCAAATGGGCGGGAATTTTGCCTCCAAAATGTGTAGCAACTTTGCTACTTTATATAATATAAAGATAAAGATTT